AAAAAAAGAGAGTCCAGTTACACTACTATAGGTAGCTTAAAATAATCAAAGTTCTTAAAAAAAAAAAAGTTTTTAACATGCTATGCTGTCTGTCACTGATGAGTCCTATCCTAATTAATACAAACATTTTAAAAAGAAAAATAAATTATGTTATCATATATTTCATAAAGCTTCCATAATTTAATTACAGAAGTGTCATTTATGACTCAGTAGTTTTAAAGACTAGGGTTTTGCATCTAACATTAGATCCAAACTGGAAAAATTCTTCCCAACATTATCTTTTTTACCATTTAAGTATCAAATGAACTCTGAACACTTACAAGTAAGGGTTAATACTTATTTTAAAATGGGTTTTCTCCAAAATGTAGCATTTCACGCACTTTTTTTTTCCCCTCTCCTGAATGACCTTACTAGGGAAACAACACAGATTAACCAAAGAGCTCAAGCTAACTAAAACGCTAGGGATAGCTTATAACAAAGACTTTTTTTTATTATTATTATTCATACCAAAAATAGAACTATGTGCTACTGCTGAATTGTTCTTAAACTGTCCTTAAAAAATTAATTTTCTCTCTATTATCATTGAAAGTCATGTTGCATTTGCTGTTAAAGTACCTACTTGACTGCTGTCAGAGGGACTAAATGTTCATCTTCATAGGTTGATAAGTATTACCATCTACAAACTGGGAATTAAAATTTAAGAGCACCTTACAGGAAAACCAGACAAATAAGGTATTTAAGTTGGCTACTGATCGGATGCATCTTGAGGGCCTGTTTTTGTCAAAGATAAGTAGGGTTAGGAAGGCACAATTGTAATTGGCCATGGGCTTCCATACGAGTTTCAACAAAAACCTAAAATTATGCTGGCCTCCACGGGTTTTGTATAAAAACTGGGTGATGCGCATGATGAAACTATGATTGTACTATCAATATGTATAATACAGCAAGATTCAAAGGGATGTTTATTAGCTAGCAGGACTACCCAGTAATAACACTGAAGACCACTTTTGGAGAGAATACAAATCTCATGCTTTGGGGTTTAAAGGTAGTCCATAGCCATCAGTATTTGGGGAATAATTCTATGAGAAGATGATTAACTCGGTGGTTCTTGAACAACTTCTAGGGTATCTGGTTGCTACCTACAGCTAAAGAAAACATACTGGACTAGATTAATTGTACCTCTAGTAAAGTGCAGCTGTTACTGTGCTCTTAACTGAAGTCTTGATTTCAAACATTTTCTGCATAAAGTTATTAACATCATGCTCCACAAATTCATCCCTATGATTGTTCTTCAATAAAAACTCAGGTAGTTCTCTATGGGAAACCCATTTTCATAAAGAACACACATTTTATGTTCAAAAAATACACATCTTCATTCTTATTTGTTTTTTCCTAGCTGCATCATTCCCTAACAATCAACCTTCTGCAAAAGTAATAAAATCACTGTTTCCTCCTTTTCTGTTCTTTCCGCTCAAAGTTCTACTCAAATGATTTACAACATCCTACTGTGATCTTCTTGCTTCCTATATCAATAGATCTCTCACCAGTGCTGTATTTTTGTTTCTGTATGCTATGGACAAACATAGGTGAGCCAAAAAGTCCTTGCCAGAAAAAAAGCTATATATACAGAGGGAAAATATAAAGGAGCAAAACTGAGGAAACTAGGCCTATCTCCATTAAAATTAATATAGACTTTACTAACACATTCTACTGGATCGTGCCTAGTTTTTGGCATGAGGCTGCTATCTCACACATTCAGTTCAATTAATGTGAACTATAATCAGTATTTTCATGATTTCCGTTTGGATACCCAAATCCCAAGAGCAGTCCTAGATATAACAAACATATCTCAGCTTCCCCTTGCCACAAAATACAGTTCTGACAAAATTTCACATTGCACGAATACTTTGAAAAGGGTGCCACTGATTGATGAGTACAGCTACCAGCATATAAATTTATCATGTTTAAAAAAGGCTGTAGCACTGTAATAGTTTCCAGAATATTACCTTTTTAGTCTTTCAACACAGAAAATTACATTAATGATTTAAATATAAAGGCCCAAATTAACTCATTGTGAACATCTCCGTGTAAAATGAAAAATTCAGCTTACTTCTATTAAGTTCTAATCTGGATCTCAAAAAGACACTGTGGAAATAAGCATCCTAAAAATGTCACAAAATGGAGAGGCAGTTTTCAGGTGTGTTACTAATGAAATCAGGTACATTACCAATAAAACCAGTGTTCTGGTAGAGGACTGGATCTGTGTTTTTAGTCAAGCAGACCTCCCACAAACTTCAGAAAGGCAATTTATTTAAATAAAAACTGAACAGTAAGGCCCTTTAAATCTTAAGTATGAGTCAGCTTTTATGTTTCATATCTAAATGATTTTATAATCGGCAAAGAAAGGAAAACCAGTTTGAGGTGCTACTTAGACTATGAAGCCCACCTGCCTTGATCGTGCAGATCAGAACGAACCAAAACTGCCATTAGCTTTACTAGTTATGTTTGCAGCAGGATCACAGATCATGGATCCTTAAGTATGCAGCCTATTTAACTTATGTAACTTAACATGAAAACAGACAATTGAAATACCAGAAGTTCTACACAGCAAAAGCTCAGGGAAGACAAAGTTTGCATTATATGTGTCTGGCTGTATTTTTAATTTAATTCAAATTGATTGAGGTAACAAATTATGGCTCAGATCCTGCACCCTGAAGCATACAGGATCAAAGCTGCGCCTGCGTCGAGTCCCACTGCCTTTGGTACACTCGCACAGTACAGAACACAGGATTGGGGCCTGTGGGGTTTTTTTAGTTCTCTCAAACATGCCTGTAATGTTACCAAACTGCAATACAGCTGATTAAGTAGAGCCTGTTGAATAAACATTGCGGTATCTCATGAGCACATAGTCACTGAGTATTTTGGAAGCTTGCATCTAGCATGCTTTTGTATATTGAAAAAAGGAAGCTGGAATTTTGTATACTATATCTGCAGTACCATGCATTCATAAGCAAGGGCTGCTGCAAGCAACCAAAAGCCTTCCTATACATTTACTTTGTTGAGAACATTTTAAACCGAGAGCTAACACAGGCAAATATTGCCTCCTGAAATCTTCTCAAAATGACATAGCCATATACACCAATTGTATCTATTTCCAAGTAGATCTATCAGATCTGTTTCCAAGTAGATTGATGAGTAAATAACACAAACTGTCTTCAACTAATAGCAAGACAAAGAAGGGAAATAACAGAGATTACGCAGAAAATTAATTTATTTTCATCTTATATTGCCTATTTTTGCAAATACAACTTATAAAATAAAAACATATGCTAAATACAGATCTTTGTCCCTGTCAAATGACTTAATCATGAAGAATCATGTTGAGCTTCAGCCTTAGAAGTCTCAGAATGTCAGACTTACAATAAAATATCATTAGAATCTTGATTATTTGCATTATCTTTCTACTGAAATGAAAAAAAAAAATGGGAAATTGCTGTACTGAATACCTGGAAGTTCACAAAATGCTAAATTACTGTATACACAAGCAAAAGGAGTCAAATTCAAACCTGGGAAACAGTTATGATTCCAATGCACTGATCACTGACACTTTATTAAACAAGAGAATAATTTGACTCAGAAGGCCTGAACCTGTTTGGGTTCAGTATGGCTGAGAACTATAAAACCTCTGGAAATCAGAATTACGTAGAACCTATTCCAAAGGTCTCTGACTCTAAGTCATAGGGGCTCATCTTTCCTCCCCCTGAACTCTGTAAGAGTTTTGACACTAGCTGTAGCTGAAAACCAATTGGAATTAGAATCATGCTCTCCGTGATCAGGAAAGCTGTGTGTTTCACAAGGACCAGATCTGGGCACAAACTGTCTTACAGGCTTGTCTTGTTTGTTTATGTTTCTTCCTTCTTCCCAAAACACAAAAAGAAATGAGAACGCGCTGGAGTTGGCCATAACCTAAATTTCAAATCAGTTGGTATCTGGTTAATTAAAGGAAAGCATACTTAATAGGTGAAGTTCATTTACTCTTAATAATGTATGTTTCACTAATTAAAAATTCTGGGTTTGAAGCTTCTACGCAAAACAAACATCCAAACAAAACTTCTAGTAAAGCCAATAGAATTAATGTCAGTTAAAGATAACAACAGAGGATCGTAATAAAATCTCTCCTTTTGTTTTTGGTCTTCATTACAAAAGTATGATTTTCACATTCCAGGGTTGGTCAGACTACCAAATAGTTTGCACTGATTTTACTTGTGCATTTAAGAACACCACTGAAAGCTGAGTTGCAGAAAATGGATACAAAACATAAAACACAGAGGGATAGCCTACGCTTTATACTCAAAGAAAATTCCCACTTAAGGACCTAACAAACACATAAAAGCCAATGCCAAACAGATTTGGCAACTTTTGGCATTTATGCTGTCCCACTAAGTTCACTGTCATATAATCATGATCTTCAGTACTAACGCTAAAAGAACACCCTGAATCTACATCCAATCCCTCACAAATAATTGAAATGCTAGGTTCAGTAATCATTGCACTAGCTTTTATTTCCAGCTTGTGCCTTTTTTCTTAAAAAGGGGAAGGAAAGGAAGAGAGGATGAGAAGAGTGAGGAGAGGAAGTAGATGTTTTCAATTTTGAATTTCTAATGACTTGTAAATGTTATCTGTACTAGAACCAATTGATTTGCTTCCCTGCCCACAATCTTGTTACTAGTTTGGGGTTCAAGTGTGAACTTAGGATTTGGTTCTGAAGGCTGAAAGCAAGATTTTTTTATTAACTTACTGACCACCCCAACTCTGCAGCAGGAAGAAACAAAAAAAAAAAAAAACAAACCCCAAAACATTGAGATCTGTTCATTCCAAAGTCCTTATACAACCACTGCAGTTCTCAAGTAAAAGGCTTATTGGAATCAATTTGCTGCCCACACACACAACATAGCTTTTATTATTGCCATAGTAAAAAAAAAAAATAATACAGCCCTTACCTTACAAATTTGGAAATAATCAGAAGTGAGCGTCTCCTGGATCTCGTCTCTGGGTGTCCCTGCAGCTCCTGCAGTCCCTCCTGGGTGCATGGAGCCACCACCAGCCCCACTTCCACCACCACTGCCACCACCACTGCTTCCACCAGGGGATGAGGCAGTTAAACCATCCAAAACTTTGCGAAAATTAAATTTCTTCATTTTGGAAAAATCTTTTGGAAGATTTGGGGGGAGAGAAAGGATGTGCAGTAACACATTCAGCTACATGTAGCAAAACAGAAAGTCTTTAATGGTCCTCTGAGTGAGGCAGCACTTTAAGTCTCTTGGACTAAACAGACTGTCAATATTAGGTATAATTGATTGCAAAATACAAAGGCTTCATTTTGTCAGGCGTAAAAGCTAGCTGGAAAGGTCCTTTTAAAAAGTAAATAAATAATTGGGGGGGGGAAATCCACAAGCAGCAGAACTAAGATTTACGTTCAAGCAAGGAACAATGGCACAACCGCCATCGGGTTCTCTCACAAAATCCACATTTAGCAGTGGTTAAAACCGGAAAGTAAACAAAAAATTCAAGCCGGCATCCAAAACAGTAGGCTCCAACTCTCTATCTTTTTTTTTTTTTTTTTTTTTTTTTTCCTGCCTAAAAATCTGCCGTCGGCACTTGATTATTTCAACAAAACTACAAAAATTCGGGTGCGTTCAATTTCCCCCCTTCCCCTCCCAAGCCTCTCAGTCAGGGGTATCTTCGCCTCCAGGGTTTCGGGGGAGCGGATTCCCTCTCCCCACCGCCGCGTTACCTGCCCCCCCTCGCTCCCCCTCGGACTCCCGGCCGGGCCGGTGCGCGGCCGCCCCACGGAGGGGTGGGAGACCCTCACTTTCCTCGCCACCCCCCCCACCCCACCCGCCGCTCCGTAAAGGGACCGAGCGACGGTAACGAGCGACCCCCCTCAGCCAGCCCGGCCGTCCCGGGCTGACTACCCGTCCCGTCGCTGAGGTGACGGATGCCCTCAAGCCCTCCCGCCCGTCCCGGTCACCGAGCCTGTGCCGTCGCCGTGCCTCCCCCCACCCCGCTTCGGGGCCGCTCCGGGGGGACCGGACTCCCTCGGCGCCGGGGGGTAGAACGGGGCGACTCGCCTGGCGGGGCCGCCCGCTTTGAGGCGGCCGGTTCCTAACGCTCCACGCGGGCGCCGGGGAGCGGGGAGAGGCGGGGCGGGAGAGGAGCGGGGCAGGGGAGAGGGGAGCGGAGGGCGGCGGCGGCGGCTCTCGCCCCTACGGCGCGCTCGCAGCCGTTCTCCGAGGTACTGAAACCTCCGCCGGCGGCGGCGGCGGCGGCGGCAGCCGCAGCTCCTCCTCCTGCTCCTCCTCCTCCTCCTCCTCCAGCTCCCGCCCCTACGCCCGCCCCGCCCCGCCCCGCCCGCCGCACCGGCGCGCAACCGGGCCCCGCCGAGGGGAGAGCGGGAGGGAAAGCAAAGCAAAGCTTCGTGAATGACAGCAGCGGCAGCTTCCGATTGGCTGCCGGAGGCCAAGCTGTGGGGATGTGATTGGCGGAGACGGCAGGAGGGGGCGAGGACTGTTCGCGGCCGTTTCGGCGGTCGGCCGGGTGCGGGCGGAGCCTCCGGCCGACTCTTGCTACGGAGGCGGCCGCCGGTGCGACCCGCGGCATCTGACTGGGGCGCTGCGAAGATGAGCGTTCGCGACCACCAATGGGAAAGGCTGCACCGCAAAATTCCCTCCCAACCCGCCGCGACGCCCCGCCCCCAGGCCGGCCGGGCGTGAGGGGGCCGGGAGCGGTCCCGCCCCACTGCGGCGGCCGCGGCCGCGGGCCCACCGGCGCCGTGTGCGCAGCGCTGCGGCCGCGCTCGGGGCCGAGAGCTCCCCGCGGCGGGGCCCGCTTTAGTTGATGTCAGCGGAGGGAGAGAGCTGAAGTTGCTTTCTCAGCCTCAGCGGCGTGCGGAAGGCCAGCCCAGCCCGAAACGCGACGGGAGGTAACGGCCCTGGCGGTGGCAGAGCGAGGCCCGCGGCAAGCGGGAGCCGCCGTTTCCTGCCGGGGCGCAGTGCGGCCTGCGCGGGTCGGCGTCCAGCCCATCTGCTGACACCGCCCGGCACCTCCCGGCACAAATCCCGTTTGTTTTTTCTCCCCCCCGAGGGATGAAATGACCGACGGTTGCCCTTCCGGGCGCGTGGGGCTCCCAGGTTTGCCCCAAAGCCGTGGAGGTTGCGTGGGACAGCTCCCTGGCCCCTGGGGTGCGGTGCAGCACGAGGAGCGTTATACCGTACACAAGACTCCGTAGAAAGGTTATTCAGGTCAGAAACAAATGAGGTGGTGATTAAAAGTGACTCATGGCACAGCGCTGCCGACGTGGTTGGAAGCTTGGAACTGACTGAGGTGGTGTAAGGAACAAACTTGTTCTGTACAGTACTAAATCTATAGGACCTCTTCTGGTATAATAAAACCATAGGAGCGATGCACACTGGTCACCTCATTTTGCAGATTCGTCAGGAGCGCTCAGTATAGTTCTGATACCCACTCTTAATACCTACTCTGTTTTTTGTACATCTTACAGTTTTGTGAACCAAGGTCGTAGTGTTTACTTCAGCTTCTTACACTGAGCTGCACGCATTTTTTTTTTCCACTTCAGCTCATCTCTGTGTGTTCACTGGTACTCCCCATCTGAACGATAAAATCATTCCAGTGAAGTTCAAAGAATAACTGTAGCTTCACTTATGTGCTCATGAAAAATAAAGGATACGTTGCTGATGAAACTGGAAAGATTGGTAGGTTTCTGCAGCCAGGAAAAAAGGAACAGAACTTTATATGGGAAACAAAATACATGAGGACTATGGCCAGGAAACAGAAATGAAAAAAGAGGATGAAACTGAGTAAGCAAATCTATAGTAAGTGCAGGGTTTTGGAGAATAAGGAAAAGCCAAAACTCAATTGAAGCTATTTGAAAAATGTCATATCCTACTGATACAGTGTTTACCACAGGCAGTGAAAGTGAAAACAAAGCTAACAAAACTCAAATACAACTACACGGATTGTAAATAGGAAAGGAAAAGGTAAGGTTAAAAATCAAATAATTAGGATGAAGATGATGTCACAGACAGACTTGCAAAAAGCATAGACTGGGAGTCAGGGGGTGCTAGAGGAAGAAAAGTGATAATGTAATGCTCCCACAGTTCTAGGGAGGACAGCAGTAAGGTTTTATTCCCTTGAATAAAAGGAAGGATCAAAATTAGAAGAATGATAAAAAGATTTTGTAAGTGGAATAAGATGCATACATTTTTGGAATATCAACATTGGTCTTTCAGAGAATTGGCATGAAGAGCTGGGTATTGATGGTTAGATATTACCTCAGAGTATCCCAAAAGGGCAAGGATACTCACACTGCCAGTGTGCTGTTAGGAAAACAGACTTGCAGAAAAAAAAACAAAGCAAAACAAAAAACCAACCAAATACTGCTCAATAAAACATTGATCAGTCCTGTTTAAAAACACCGAGAAAAATGCTTTGCTTGACTACATGTGTATGTATGACATGTAGGTCCCTTTTGAAAATTTTGCTCAAAGGTGGACACAAATCCAGAAGCAGAGACAGAACAATGGAAGTCATAGTTGTGGAGTGGTGCAGAGGCAGACAAGACAGTGCAGGAGATACACAGGAAAACTCAGTGATGACATGCACAGAAAGGAGTCCCATTGAATGACCTAGCTCATGAGGAGTTTGTTGCAATAAAAAAAAAAAAAAAAAAACCAGTTTGGTTTTGACACAGAAAAGTACATTCAATTGCTGTTTTGCACTGTGTTTAGATGGTATTGAGGTTGCATAGTTTTGACAACAAGAGTTTTAATAATAGGTTTGTAAAATGATGTAGTAAGATTTTACTGTTAAATTGATATATAACAAATAAGACATCCACATGCACTGTGGGATATAGGTATCTATTTTAGATAGTAAGGGGAGAGAGTATATTCTTTGGTGGTTTTCTTCTGGATAGTATTTTTTACATTTATCAGTCATCTTGTTCTGCAAGGTCAGACAGAAACCAAATGTTAAAAGGATAACACTTTGCTAGCAAGTTTTTGCTGAGAAAGAGCGTCTTTAACAGCCTACACCATCAAAATTAGTATGAACTCTCATTTTGATTTTTGCTTAGGTAAGCTTGTGACTACATGTAGTAATATAAAAAGATTTGGCAGAATCAGACCTAGAAAAGGAGACTAATATTAATTCAGCATTATCTAATCTCAGTCTGATTCAAGAGCTGACTGAGAAAATGGAGAATCAGGAAAGATGTGCTTAGATCAGCTGACCAGAAAGTGATAGTAGTAGAGATTGTACATGCTTTGTATGTGACTGATTATTAACGTTCTGGTCAGTTTTTTGGGGGTATTTTTGCTTACCTCATCTGGCTTTTTTGTTTTATTTTTTGATAGCAAATTCTGTTTCAGCCAGTGGAGTAGAATTCCCTGGCTTTGTAAAGCTGCAAACGTGCTTTAATCTCAGGCTTATATTGTTAGTAGTTTAAATAAAGACAAGTGGAAGTGTGCAATAAGTGGTGGTTTCACAGTTTACACCGTTTAAATGATTCATACTACTCCTTTTGATAATACATGAATTAGTAGCTAAAATTGATGGCCCTTGAGAGAAATTATTGTATGTCCATCAGCAGCTGATGAGACCACAGGCTTGCAACTACACCCTGCAAGGGAACCTCTGAGTTTGAGCAGAACTGAAGAGCAAGGGTGTAATCAAATACTAGAAACACTTTTATGCCAATGCAGGCAAAACTGTGACTTTCCGTAGCTGCCCATTCCTCATTAGACTTCGGGACATTTGCCAGTATTATACATGTTTCTGTGTAATTCCAGAACATCAAATGCCAACAAGCATAGTGTTCCTGCCTGCAGAGCCCCACTAAAAATATCCCCCAGTCAGTGCTGAGTATCTGGTTAGAACAGCTTGCTGAACTCTATCAATTAGCCAGATCTTAATCTATTTAATGTGTTTTATTAAGGCTATATAATGCTAATGTTTTAATCAAAATGTCAAGCAGTACTAAATCAAATTCATTAGGAAGGTCCAAGTCTATCACATCCATGTGGTTACCTTGATCAAACAAACCTGTAATCTCATCAAAAAGTGAAGTCAGGCCTGCTTGTCAGGACTTGTTTCCATAAAGCCATGTGGACTTGCTTTCATTATATTCCTACCCTTCAACTCCTTACTGATTGAATCACACATAGCATGACTTCTTTAATTCACATAACATCACTGTTTTGTCTAGGATTACTTAGGATGCCAGGTCTGTTATTACCTTTGTCATCCTGCTTGATTCTTGAAATAACATGAGATTTCCTTTGGCCCTTTGAATTTGTAGCTGTACAGAGAGCTGTTAACATAAGAAGGCTGGAAGTCTCCTACTATTTTAGGCTGTTTGGATACTCAGGTGCCACAGAGACTGCTGACTGAAAAACGGCAGTGACATTTTCATCCTCCATAGGTGTCAATGGGTAGAAAAATAATTTCATCGTCTTCATGTAATATTAATACATTCTTCTTTTTTTTTTTTTTTTTTTTTCATTTGCAAGTACAGGATAGAAATATTTATCATAAAAATTAGATCTTTTATGCATGCTCAGAGACCAGATTTCTTAATGAAGAAGCTGTGACAAGGTGGGATGTGTCTGTACAAAACCGAGAGCATAATTTTGTAATAAGAACTCCATTTTGCCCAGTGGGCCAAGTACAGGTGTAAATTAGCCTATGCATAGAGTTAACTGTTACACCTTGAGGTGAACTGTTGAAAGGGAAGGTCATGCATCCACTTGAGCCCTTGGGGTTTTTGCCCC